ACAAACATGTTTATATAGCTCATACTATGACGCTCTTCTGTACCTCTGGCACCTCCCTTTTTACTTCTCAGGTCAACATCATTGTCTCATCTTTATCTCTTTGACAGCCAAATGACATATTCCTGATTTTCCTGCAACTCTTCACCACTTGATGTCACTTTCACATTTTTACTTTGATTCTTGACCCACCTATTATCCTTTGAAGAAAGTTAATCAATTTAAATGTTTAAAAATTTTAAAGACAACTTGTTGTGTTTGCCTACTATTTTCTTACTTTTCCTAATTTGATTGCAAAATTGAGCTGTCTCAGTTGTGTGAAACGTTTCTGTCTGAGCGTGACCTTTGACCTCTCATCCCCACACCTGCAGGGGTAGGGGGGACACACTGGGGGAGGAAAAGCAGCTTTCTTCTCAGCCGTTTCCATCACCATGGACATGAATCCATGTGTGTTTAGATGAACTACTGCAGAACAACACCACTGAGTGTTTTTGGGATGCTCAGACTGGAGGGGCGCCACTTCTAAGTAAATATCTTCATGAGAGGAGAGGGCCGGTGACCATGTTGAATCAGGATGGTTCATTCTGTGGGAGCCATGAATGAGAACACCAAACACACTAACTGTAAAAGTCAAAGTTTGACCTGATGGTGGCGTTGCAGGAAAGTCCCAAATGTCCCAAAGTCTTTAGCCGCCAGGTCTTTAACACTAATGCCATTTGTGTACTATTTGATACACACGGTTTCCGATATGTTCTAAATCTGAGACATTTTGCAGTAATTAATAGTAAAAACTTTGCTCAAAACCCTGTCGTGCCCAATTAGAAATCCCTGAAAACATCAGGCAGAAGACTGCCTGACATTAATTTTTAGTTATCACAAGATAATAAATGATGAATATTCAAACATTGTTTTAGTCTTTTATTTTATTTTGTTGAAGATAAAGACTTAAAATATCAATTATTTCTATGTTTTATATTTTGTATCTATGTACTTTTATATCATATCTAATTTTCTTTTTGGGTCAGACTTTAAAGGGTTCAAATCTGTGTCTGAGAGGGACAAAAGTGGAGTTTCCTCAAACCTAGAAACAGCTCCTGCAGGGATATTCTTCTCTGTTTACCTCCCAGTTTGTGCATTTTTATGGGAGAGATATGAAATGCCCCATTCATATTTAGGTGGGGACCTGACCTATACTGCCTCCAGCATTTCTTCATCAAATCATGATGGACTTATAGTTATTTCTTTGAGGTACTGTTGCCATTTGAAAATGTTTCTTCTATTTATGGCCCCGAAAATATGATAATTTAAAATGATGCATTCTCCATAACAAAGTTAGTTTCTTTTTTGTTGACTCAGGTCCCC